TCAGACAGTAGCATTGGTGACTGATAGTCACTTTAAACCTATTCGTATGTAATTTATATTTTTTGTTATAAGTATGTAAATACATACATACATACATATAAGTGATATGCGCACATTTAATTTTATATGCATACATATGTATCTATCAGAGAACAGCTTTGAGTATGATCGAGCCTTTTTGATCACACTCACTAAAAATCAAGCACAAGCGAACGCCACACTCGGCTACTATGTGTTCGATCGAGATGCATACCCGACAGCTGCTTTGGTTACGAACGAGTCTGTTCGATCACCCTCGCTATAAATTGAGCACAAGCGAACACCACACTCGGACACCCGCAGCTAACCCGAAAATTTGTGTAACAATGAAACGGACACCCGAACATTGCGATAAAATGCAGGACAACAAAGAAATTTACGCTGAAGGTAACTGGCCCCAATATGTTCCCACAAAGCATACGAAAATGTTGTTGCTTTGTGCTAGTGCATACGCAATGAAAAAATTTGAAGCGAAGTAGACAAATATGTTTTTGCATCTATTTCGTATAGTTTCGCGTGGAAAGCTGTGTGTGTATATATTAGAACACAGCCTAAAACTATGTAGGTACATAAGTACTTTTACAAAAAATAAATGTGCACCGAGTGTATAGGGCTTGGGCACTGCCGATCTACACACATTTATACCTAAATGGATGTAGGCGTCGTGATGTCGCATTTTGTATGAGCAAAAATATAAGAAATGGTTAAATGTACACTTAAACAAACTACCGAAAAATTCAACCTTCTCTTTGCCCTCTACGCACAAAAACTAAGAACACCGCGATGAGAAGGCAACATTTTTTGTAGAAACAAAAACGTCATAAGCCAATCAAGAAAATTTTGTGCACAGTCGGGTTGAAACTCGAACACCCGGGTATATTGAGCTGCAAAGCACCCGAACCCAATCAAGTATGTATGAAAAGCAATCGGGTGTTGTGGCCAACATGTTCGTCTTGAGCTCAGTCGATAACGAACAATACTTCTGCTCGTATACAGAGAACGATGCCAAACGGGTTTTGTTAGATGATCGAGTATACACGAAAATCATGCACCCGCTGGAGATGTCTGGTATCTATGTATGTAGTTATATGTGAATACATATGCGATTGTACTTTTTATGGCTGTTGCAGCGGATGCTACACTTTTAGCGAGGCAAACTTGATGGGACTAGTAGTAAACAAGCGCATCAGCAATAAATATGAAGTTAGGCATAAGCCACTTGCAGCTACATATTTCGAGATTAACTACGTGGGTGTGATTATAGTTCATATGAATATATCACTTGTACATTCACTCACTTTTGCTAATCACTGCAGTCCAATCTGCTAGTTATGGACTATTTAAACGCTTGCTCTTTCGTAATTCACTGGCTCACCTCGATTTACGTATGTACCTTCTTAACCGTTAAAGTTTGGAAGTGGTGCAGTTTAGACGCCGATACTGTGACCTGCGCTAACAAGCAAACAGTTCTATTTCAAAATTTTAATATTAAGTACAGAAGTCTAGTCAACTTGTTTATGAAATTCATTGCCCATTCGAATTATTTTATTGTAGGAATATTATTTGATTGAAAGCAAAGCATTTGCACACATACATACACGTACAATTTGATAGTTTACACGTTGCGCCTAAGTGCCATATTGAACACGCTGACCACAGCGTAACCGACCGAGCATTACCGCCGCTGTTATTCGATGTGTTGTTGTCGTAACAAAGAATTTCAGCGCTTCATTGTGCAATGCAACAAATTCAAATATAAAAGCAAAGCAGGAATCGCGGCAAATGGCATACAATAAAGGCTGGGCGTTGGTGTAAGAAATAAAAGTGACTGCCACTCTATTCGAATAGGTGCAGCTATTTACTTAGATAGGTACATACATACACACACACACACACACACATTTTTTTCGGTATTAAAATAGATTTTAAAGTGTTTTATTTTACATACAAAGTTGCTTTTATGCCAGTTTTAAAGCCCTTTGCGCTCAATTTCCTCCGATTCGTGCAAAATTCACCTTTCAAATTTTCGCAAAATCGTAGGTGGCCACTGCCCAGCCATTTGGTGATGGCCTATTAAAAATTCGCATGCGATAACTTTTGGAGCATGTGAAATGTTCCTTTTTGCGGGTGTTGGTAGGTCGAATGCGACACGTCAAGGACGCAAATGGTTGTCCAACAGCACACATGTGTATGGTACAGCCGTGTGGCAGTCGCCCCAAAAGAATTGGGTGATGTCAGCAAGTACGATTTTGAAAAAGGGTGTGTTGCAAAATAGAGTTACAACAAAAAGGGATGAGCTGCACGCATACGAGTAAGTAATTGTGCACAAATGCAAACATACATATGTACATACGCACATATACTGATATAATCGGCTGTACTTTGCATAAACTTACATTTGTATTTTAAAAACAAGTAATTTTTAAACAAACAAGTAATTTTTAGCAAAAAAAAAACCGACTTAAAAAAAAAATATATATATATATATATATTTCATGATCCAATGATCGGATCTAAACCAAATTAGTATGGGACCCCCTCTGAGATACCACCTTTCCGTTCAAAATAGAATTATGGAAATCGGTTAACGTTGTCCAAAGTTATGCGGTAACATACATAAAAAAAATATTTCGACGAATTGATAACCTCCTCCTTTTGTGAATTCGGTTAATAAGAGAAACAATTCGCAGACGATTTATCCTGTTTTGAGATGACACTTGCGATAATACATACATATGTAGGTATGTATATATGTAAATACACACATATTTATGTAAGTATTCTTGCTCCTTGTTTTATTAGACAAATTAATTAAATTGAAAGCGTTGAAATAATGTTCTTAACATTTTATTTTCCTCCACTGATGCGCAGCAGTCGGCAGGGATATTCGCAAAGTTAAGTGCGTTTATTTATTTTTGCATTAAAAGCAAGATTTATAAATAAGTAAATATTTATTTAAAAGTACAACTGCCACACTTGGATACTGACAGATATTCTTACATACATACATACATACATACATACATACATAAGAAACTGCATATATACTATGTGCACATATGGGCATTTGTATCTAAAAGATGAACGTACGTACTTTCTTACTCACAGCCTCGTTCTTTGAGAATTGCGCATCGAGTTCATTGCGAACGAATATCCATTTTTCAGTTTTTCAATGCGAAAATTATATTAATTAAAAAGCTTTTTCGCACACTGCCAAAATATATGTATGTAAACCTTAACGTTGTTGTTGTGCATTTATTCCTCTCATCCCAGAAGCTTTCATTATTATGATTTTCTTTCAAAAAAAAAAAATTGCCTAATGAAATTATTTCAATTTGACGTTGGCCTTGGCATAAGCAATGATCTTGCAGAATAAATTTATCTATGCATGGCTGAAGAAATGTGCCAAAAATTCCGAATATCCGAAAAAGAGAAGGCACAAACGAATCATTTTGAGATCTCCAAAAATGTTTGTGGAATAGCTGAAAATACACTAAACAGATTTATTGCCGCAGTATTGAAATTTAGAAAAGTTTGCATTAAATATTTTTGTTGTTGTATGCACAAACGTATGTTAATAATGGCATACATATGTATGCACGAATGATTGTTTGTAGATGAATAACAAGAACAACTTTGGATCGATTTTTTGGAAAGCACTGTGCAACGGTGAAAAACAAATTTTCGAGCACATCGTCAGATGCCGGCTCGAAAATGCGCTACCTCAATATAAAATTCGTCTTAATCCCAAGGAAATCACATGGCATTCTCCCATATTTCTCGATCAAAGTTAATGATTATTGTTTAATTTTTTCTTAAACAGTTACCCAACAAAACAATAAGTTATTTTTCTGACACGTGGCGCTGTATTCGGGGTATTTGAAAAATTGACGACATCCAGCAGAAAAAGTAAAGCACTGCTCCAAGTGTCCATATTTAAAAAAAAAAAAAAAACAAGCAATTCGATTTACGAACATAGGCGATAATGGCTCCTTAGTGAAACACCTTTTCCCTCTTCTATGCAGGTTTAAGAGTTTTTCTGCGTCTTTGTAATAAATGCCGAAAAGTCACAGGGATTCCATTCATTTTTGAAAACAGTACCGACGTTTACTTGAAATTAAGTGGTCTTTTCAAGATATGACTATAGCGCAATTTTTTTCTTATAACATTTTGGATAAAATGGCAAAAAAATGGCGAAAATTTGAAATTTATTTTAAAGTTTTATTGAATAATTTTACCAGGCGTACAGATGTCCCTCCAAAAATTCATGTCCACTGTTATGGTCTGATTATGGCAACTTAACGTAACTTACGGCTCTCTCTTAAAAATTCTGTTAAATGGATGTTGCTTATAATTGAACAGCCGAAACTTAACGTAACTTAAGGCCACGTCGAAATCTGTTTTGTTGATTTTGATTCTCTAAGTTCTACGTTCCGTTAAGGTAAGTTAAGTTGCCATAATCCGGCTGTTACACAGTGTAACTGTTTCCGTTTTCTTAAATGTTCGCCTCCCTTTCAAATGCACATCTTCTTAAATATAATTAAAAATAAGTGCCTCCTCTTAAGCTTTTTTCCTCTCTAAAATTCGCAATTTTGCTCCCTATAAAACGCACCTGCACTCATTGAACTCAAGTGGACTTTCACACTTAGACGCTTTCGCTTTCTTTAAGAATCCGATTGCAGTACAAGCGTGAATCTGCAACTGCGCGGTATTCCCGTGAAACCTGCAAGATAATAAAATGGAAAAAGTGATAAAAATTACTAAATACATTCCATTGACGCATTAAACTTCTGCGTAATTTTTGTGAAAAAATCGCGTTTATTGAAGTTACAAATAATAATTCTTATCAGTTGAAAATTTCAATGGACTTCAAGTGGATTTTATGGCTACTAAATGAGCCAAAACAAAGAGAATGCATCATGAAACTAATTTGAGTGGTATTTTTTCATGTGAATTCCAGAATAGCAAGGCTCGTACCAAAAATTGCAATTAATCACACGCCCATAGTGCAAGTGAGTATTTATATTGTGCTTTCTTCACGCGAGGAAAGTCATGTGAGAATATATGTATGTATATATGTGTACATATGTACAAAGTTATATGATGATATATTTATAACGTGTGTAAAAGTACAGCCTTATGTTGAATTCCCACTAGGAATCGAAATGCAAAAAATAAAAAAATGGCATGTCAAAAAATTATTTTTGTCATTAAAAATTTCGTAATGTAATGCCCAGTGGAAATTCGGAATCTTAATTACACGGTGGAGCTATACAATTCTGTTGATGACAATTGTTGAGTAGAAACTTTAATAGATCTCGAATATATGTAGAATATACTTTAATTGAATTTCTAAAGACAAACATTGAAGTAGCTTAAAAATAAATATGCCTACCGTTCGTTTATTTGTTTTAAAATGTATGTAGGGCTCATTGTTAGTATCAACATAAACAGTGGTGGAACACAGTACATACATATGTATTTAGCAAAAGCTCGGTGTTAACACTTGCCAATGGACTATTGCAACATTACAAAAATAGGCCTAATCGTTGAGGTCAGACTTTAATTTTTGACGTCACCTAGTGGCACTTAATTTGTATGTCTTTATGTGCTAATGTAAATATAATTGTTTGTTATTTTTGCGTTCGGCTTTCGACCGTGTTAGGTAAGGCCGATTCGGGTAAAAATACAAATTTACCGTCATACATATGTACTATATGTAAGTAAAATCAATAACACAGGCCAACAAAATTGGAAAAAAAAAGTTGGTGCGACACATGTTGAAGCTATTTTTGATAGAATTTTTCGTGCTGATTACGAATCTGTAGATATAAAATTTCCATTCGAAAAAAAAAACGTGGTCAAAATGTAAAAAAATCACGTCTTTGACTGGGTTTGCAGAAACAAAAGGTGTAGGCGTGAATTAAATTAAATGACTACAAACCCTGAAAATACCATTCCTGCACCTTCCACTGAAGATTACCTGCAGTCAAATGTGATACTTCATATTTGCGGTTACCAAAATTACTATCAAGGACTATTCAAGAATTGTGCAGAAATGAGATTTTAAGAATTAATTGTTGAAAGTTTAAGCTTAAATTAACTTCTAAGAAGAAAATTCTGTCAATTTGTGTTTTATTGCTTAGGTACTCAAACTTCGCAGGAAATCAGTTATTGCTGTTCAATAAATTATGATTCTTTAGGTCAAGGTACAGGGATGATAATTTCAGGGTTTGTAATCCAAAGTTTAGGTTTTAACTTAAGTATAGCTGGAAGGTTTTATCACCCTTTTTTTCTACTAGAGCTTCTCAAATGTTGCCGAAACCCAGATTTTTTGATATTTTGAACAAGTTTTTTTCAAAATATGGAGCTGATGGACACTTTACGACTACAGATTCGTAATCCAATATTTTGCTTTGACGTCTTTTCTATTCACATACATATAACAACAAAGGAAGCGAGCAAGGGTTTGGCGGAATTTTACATTTGTCAACCCTTTATTATTCGTAAATTGAATATGTCGCAAACTTGTTGGATGAATGACATATTTCAAAAAAAAAAGAAACCTTTTTTTAAAGTAATTAAATAATAACTAAAATATTTACATACATAATATGTAACAGTAATCGTAATATTTATTTTCTTTTTTCGAAAAATTGGGGAATATTTTTGCATACATACTTGACATTGAAAGGCGTTCGCTTATTTTTTTTTTAAATCCTGCCTTTAACAAAAGTTGGTAAATTAGTCATCGAAAACTGAATGAAATCTAAAAGCAACTACTGCAACATTAAATTAGTTAGAATCCTTAGTCCTTGTTAATTAATTCTTTTGTAGGAATTCTAAACTAAATAGATTTAATTTTAATAAAGCATTTTAATTGATAAATATGTAAAGAAGCAGAAAGATTAAAGGGCCTTCTATATTAAGGAACAGATATGTTACTAAAAAGTTTTGATACTCACTACTTTTTTGCACTTTAACTTAAATACATAGGTACATATGTACATATGTATGCTTGTACCTACACTAGGCGCCAAATTAAAGTGTACACCTTGTTCTAATGTAATCTTCACAATAATTTACATGAAATGTTTTTTGAAATTTTGCGGTTTCCTTCCATACCAAAATAAATTGTGTTTATTCGTTATATGGAAGCAAATGCGACAAAGAAATTCGTAAAAAATCAATAGTAATTTTACCACTTGCAACTTGAACTTATTTCACTTTGTTGCATACTCGATTTATTTTTTTTTTGAAATTATAAATAAAAAGTTGAAAATTTTGATGAAATTGTGAATTTTTGTATAAAGTGTAAAACTTAGATTTATACGGTTTATATTATAGAATAATCTATATTTTCGTAAGTAATTGATGGAAAAAATGGTTCATGAAAATAATTGTGAGCATTATATTAGAACCAGGTGTACACTTTAATTTGTCGCCTAGTGTAAATATCAAATCAAGACGGCGACGAGTTCTTTTCACTTTGAGCTTTATTCACGTATTTATAGCTTTTTTTAACATTGTTCTTAATTGCTTTAGATTAAAACAGTGGTGGTTGTTAAACATATGTACATATGATTACGCACATGTATTTATTATGTGCTATTGTGATATATACATACATAAAAATGTACTACTAACTCTATGCGAAAAAGTTCAATGCACCGTAGTACAGCTAGGCTGGTGATTTTTCAATTTTACGTAAAAAGAGGGAAAGTACATATCGCTTTTTTGTCAAAAAAAAAATGTCTTTAAACAACTTTTTGGAGATAAGTATGCAGAAATTACGGTTAATTTCAAGTTCGGTACCACATTTGTAAATTGTATCCAATAAAAAAAGGGAGTATGTCGCTTTCACAACTTTTGTATATCTGTGTTTCACTGTGCTAAGCAATTAATGCTAGAAAACACTCACACTTTGATCAAAGTAACGAGCCAACTTAGGATATATTCGAAGCTTCATAGTCGGATTTAAAATTTCCGATTATATTTATTATAAATTTTATTTTTCAGTTATTATTATTTTTCTTCAAAAACTGTAAAGCCGTTTACTCGAGTTTTTGGTTTTTGAGTTATGACTCTCTTCCAGCGCAAAAGTGGTTTTATAAGTGTGTAATGCTTCCTTACGTTCAGGCAATTTTTTTTTGCTGTTGTACATATGTACATACACACATATGTAACCAAAAGAAGTTTTCATGAGTTATCCTTAATTAAAAAAAAACTTAATCCAAATAACGAACTTCAAAAAAAGTAGGAAGGTTATCAGTTCATAGGAATGTTTTTTTTTTGTATGTATGTTACCAGATAACTTTGGACCACGTGAATCGTTAACGATAGTTCTTTTCATTTTTGAAGCCATTCGCTAAATGTTTCTAGGTGTTTGTCTGTGTGTACTTAAGGAACTCAAGCTACTTTCATTACAACGAGTATCTCTCCAATTACAAGCATACATACTTACACCAATTTATGATGGCCATAAACAATTTATTAATTAAGCCATTCATAGACGCCAAACAGGCTGTCACCGCAATGATACAACAACCAAAAATTTTATTTCTGTTCTATTGAACCGCAAAAAGGTGGTACCATTGGTTTTATCAACATAGTACATATACACACTTAAGATACATAACAAAAATCAATAAACCCTTAGAAAATATTTTGAGATTACACGCTCGCATATGCAGTCCTAGACACTATGCCACATAATCAGACATTGACTTGTTGATATGCAACAGTGGCGCCAAGAAAATTGTGCTTTTAAGTCTAACAAAGTTCTATGCCTAACTATTACATACTTAAGGCTGGTTTTCACTATGTCAAATTCAGTGGCATTTGCCGTCATATAAGTGAAAACACATTGTCAAATGGAATCAGAATGCGGTTTATCGATTGATTTGGATCAGAATAGGTCTTTAATCGTGTACATGTGCTGCGAAATCGGTTGTATGTCAGTTTTTGGCCCATAATATCATCGGCAAAGGTATGGATAAAGGAGATAAAGTTGTGTTAAAATATGTCGCCAAATTTTGGCGTCAAAATATGACATAGTGAAAACCAGTCGTTAGTTTCAAATTTATGTATTTGTGTTTTTGTATTGATTATCTGTTTATGTGAATGTGAACTTGCGGTGACATAATATATGTACATATGTATATGTATATATATATTTACATAAGTATTCAATGACAGTTAATGTGCATTAATCCATACCAATATACATAAGAATGTTAATATGTATGTATATATGTATGTAGGTTAGGATGAACCTTAAAATATGAAACTAAATTTTGCATGGAGCACGCTCAAGATAGGGACTTTTACGATAATTTCAATATTTGAAAACAACTTTTGTGGGTTTGACAAACTGAAAACTGATAAATTTGATATATTATTAAAATTATTCGTATACATTTATAGTCATCGGCTAATGGTTGCACCAGACAATATAAAGTTCCAAAGACCGCCATCGGAATAAGTGCAACATTTTTAACAATTTTCCCAAAAACGAAAAAAAACAGGTGTACAAATAATTATCTGCCTGAGCTCAAAACGCATCTTTTAATTTTTTTGTAATAACAAAATTATGCAATTTTAATATTTTCAAACTCAAAAATTATTTAAAAATATTGAAATTTTCGTGCATGTCTTTCTTTTGTGCGTAGAAAAAAATAAAGGGTTGTCCCATACAAAGTTTAGATACGGACATTTTTAAGAACCGCCCTAATGTGGGGATAATAAATTGCATGTAAATATATATTTTGTTGCAGTCATGCAAGGGTTAGAATGAAAACTCACAAGTGCAGGTGTAGACTTCTTTGCGTCAGTGCTTTAAACGGTGACAAGTTGCATGATATTGTAAATAAGTTGGCAGAATGTGGTTATTACATACAAATATGTACATATGTATATGTACATACTTTGGAAGGGCTATTTGTAACGCGAACAAACGTGCGAATGGCAAACATGCCCTGCAAAAAATTGTGCGACTAATCTCTAAAGAGAGTATTCCGAGATTACTCTCAATCGGGTACAATTGGGCATTAATTAGTCGCAACTAGTCTCATACGGGTACTAATGGAGGTCAATTAGTCTCGACTCATCCCTTATGGGTATAATTGGAGATCAATTAGTCCCCAACTCATCTCTAACGGGTACTATTAACGATTTAATGATATGTACGCACTTAGTCAATGAAATTTCATGTGCGGCGTTGGCACACAGAGAGAGTATTCGCCTAACAAAACTGAGCACACCGGTTCGAATATCAGCTGGCGCAAATTTTTATTTTTATTTTTTAAAAGTGACTAGTCGCTTTTTATGCCCTTTCGGGTATAAAGGTGAACAATTGGACTCTTCATAGGACATGCTCGAACAAAAGCGATCAGTTCATTCCTTTGCGATTGCTCCCGGAGTCATCCCGGATTAGTCCCATTTTTTGCAGGGATGAAAGCAACTAAATTTTGTTGTAATGTCTAATTCTAAATAATGGCTATTATTTGAGCAATGCAGCATAAAAGAGTGTGGCCTAATGGCACGCAAGTAATGAATATTAGTTACACAGACGTTTATGTACATATGTATGTATGTATTTATGTTAATGTGTTTATGTATTAGGGAATATTAGCCCGTAGTAGCGTTTTATTTTTAAATACTTGTTTACCATTCTGGATATTTTCTCATGCCGCGTTCAAATTTAACGGGTTATTTATTTAGTAAATATCCGCCAAATGCTTTTGATCGGTGAAGATCATTTGCTTCGCATAATTTATTTGTTGCATACTTTTCGGCAGACAACAAAAATGTACTCAACCGTGTAGATAAATTAACTGCATACATACATGCATCCTTAATCTTATTGAATATTTTACCCTCTTTCTTGGAAAGTTTTTGAATGTTTCATTAATAATTAAGTACTCAAATATATGTATCTCTCCTTTGTTACAGATAAAACGAGTCTGGAGAATCCCAAGAAGTGCCATTTAGAATTGTGAACGGATATTTGATTCAAAGCCAAAGAAGGCAACGTAAAAGCTGCAGAAAATTCTTTTTTACATTAAAGAGGAAGAAGGAGGCAAAAAAGTTAAGCTCCAAGCAACCTGAGAAAAAATCGAATAATATATATTTATTGAAGAATTATACATACCTAACTCAATTAAAAAATAATTACAGAGTTAGAAGCACTCGCACTCGTACATAAATATACACAAATAGGAGGTGACATTTATATATATTCACATACACGCACGCACTGCATCGGAAATTAATTTGTTACAAAAAATTGATCGCTAAAGCCGAGTAGCGCAGTATTTGCAGCCGCTAATTTAAAATAAAATAAAACTAAATTAAGAGCAACTTTCGAACGGGTCGGACTTACCATAATTTTAGGAAGTAGTATTGAATACTAAAAACATACATATTTTTTAACGAAATTCATACAAAACACGAATTTAACTATATAAAATTTGTATGAATCGATTAAATTAGAGAGTAAAAATGGCAGATAGATATACAAAAACGACCTCTAGCAGCGTGTTAGATGGAAAGAATGACAAAAAGGGCGCTACACACACACCAGCGTCGTCCCAGTTGCCCAATGACGCCGCTGGTAGTAGCGCCAACCACAAAAATGTGCAAATCCTTACAAAGCTTGCCAACAGTTTGAGCGAAAGCTACCAACTGGTCAAGCAACGCCAACAAAAATACAACGAATTGAGCTCCAAAATGGGCGGCGTAGACGCGCCACAGCTCGTGAGCTATACCCAAGACTGTGATGATGCCGGCGCTGGCGAGTGGCAGGAAGTAAAGAATAAGCTAAAGCGCAAGAAGAAGCTTTCCGCTTCACTCACCTCCGTCAACGATTCGGTGAATCAGGAGAAGCGCACCCGCATCGAAGGCATACAGCTGAACTGCCGCGGAAAGTTGCACATCACCGAGCTGCCGGCACTAGTGCCGCAGTCAGCGACGCGCAGCTATGTCAATGTGGGCGTGGCACAACGCGCCGAACGCTGGGGTGGCGCAAAATCGAATGCGGCGGCCTCGAATGCTGCTGCCGCACCGACAACCAAACAGACAAACGCGTGCAATACAGCGCAGGCACCAGCGCCAGTGACGGCAGCGACTGGTTTAGTCACTGCTGCCGGCGTGACCACAGCCGCGCCACCACCGCGCCTCAAGCGCAAACTGCAGGAAAATGTGCAGACTATACAAAAGCTGAATGCGCTCACAGAGCAGCTAAGACTGGAGATCAACGAGCTGAAGTCCAGCTTGACGACCGAACGAGGCGCAGTGCGCGTGTTGCGGTAAGTTCCTCCGATTAAGCTTGGTGGTGAATTTTGGGTAAAAATTTTTTAATTATCTTTAATAGCGCACAAAATGAGTCGGAGACTCGCAAATGGAAGAATGAGGTGAAGAGACTGCAAAATGCTGTAGAGCTTTTGAAGAAGAACAACACATTGCCGCTGGTCGGTGCGAGGAAGGCGACAGACGCCGGCAGCGAGAACTTGCCAAATGCTTCCACGACTGGCAATGTAACCAACTACGAAGTACAAAGACTGACAAATGAAGTTATTGCGCTGAAGGAAGCGAACAGAGCTTTAGAAGAGAAGAAAATGGTGAGTGCGATTTGTGTTAGTGCATGATTTCCTGGGTTTACTGCATGAATGTGAATTCTGAATGTTTAGTTCAATGCAATTTTTTAATGCTATATGCTATAATGAAGATAAAAATAACTGTGTGGTTATAATATATAAATGATTAATAATAAAAGAGTAAGGAATAAACTCATGGGCGACAAAAAACACGGAGATTCTTTTATCGAAAATTTGCCTGAAGTTTCGAGCATGAAATTATATCTGCAAAATTCTTAAACGGTATCACATAATGTACTTGGCAAAAATGTAAATTATTAACCTCCCGGCTTGAGGGATAAATACTGTAAAGATCTCTCAAGCAAAAGTTTATCTAACGAATCAAGTGATCAGGTGATTCACAATACGCCAAATCTTGGAAAAGACCCGCGAGAATAGGGTCGACACACCATCTATTTTTCGATTTTAAAGCCGCTTTCGAAAGCACAAAAAGAAAATCCCATTATGCCGCGTTGTCTGAATTTGGCTAGCACCATCAGCTCTGTCAGATTTGGGAAGGACCTCTCCGAGCTGTTTGGTACCAAACGAGGTTTCAGACAAGGTGGATCCTTTCGTGTGATTTCTTTAATCTGATGTTGGAGAAGATAATAAGAGCCGCAGAACTGCACCACTCAGGTAAATACCTTACAAGAGTGTACAATTGCTGGCGTATGCCGACGTCATCGACATTATCGGTAAAACCAAGGGCTGTTCTTCCTACTCGAGATAAGATAGAAACGCAAAGCGAATAGGTCTGGTGGTGAACGAGGACAAAACGAAGTATCCTCTGTCATCACATAAATAGTCAGAGCATAAGCGTCTTGACACCCACCACGTCACTATTGAGAGTTACAAGTTTGAAAGAGTAGACTACTTCGTTTATTTGGGAACCAGCATTAACACCAATAATAATGTTCGAATGGGCAGAAACGCTCCAGCTGTGAAAGTATTCAACACGGGTCGCGAGACCAGGCGGAGACGGACTTGTCTTCACTTGGCATTTACAATTGACGTCAGTTGGTACAGAAGAGAAACGACTGGCGTGCCATTTTGGACTAGAACGCCTTAGAAAAATAAAGATTTTAATATGGGCCTTCAGGATTAGGGACTTATCGTCGGGATGAAAAAGGACTTTGTGGTCGTGGCGTTCATTTTGCCTCCAACTAAGTACTGATAGTTTTAGATTTAACTCAATTCAAATTATTTTATTTTAATACATATTTATGGCTTTTAAAATTTATTTGTATAAATGCAAAGTTTTTTTTAAATAAAAAAATTAATTGTGCAATAAAACTGACCCATTGTTTGAAATTTCAACCGATTGTACCCAATGCACCTTTAAACTGAAAATGAGCTGAAAAGATACAAATGTACCTACGTGGTATGTAGTCTATATAAAACCAACATCGTAACAATTTCTTAGTTTTGTGCGCTCTTTGCTGGAGAATGTATAATACGCACTCTTGCTTTCTTCAAATCATATCCTGCGGAGCGGTGCTTAAAAATCTCCCACAGGAATGTCAGGAACGCCAGCTTTAGCCCCAAGAACAAGAGAAAGAAGGCTGCTTGAAAATGGAACAACTTTAGAACCACTGGATCATCATCGTTCATCGGATTGCGGATGTTCTTCTTTCCCGACTCTATGAATGCCGCATTCATGATACTCTCCCAATGAACAGCGTAGCCGAACTCGATCGAGCTGCGGATCAATCGGTTGATGAAGCCCAAATAGGGCGATCCATAGGGCACAATGTAGACGGCATGAAAAGGCACCAGGCAAGTGGACATGACGTGGTAGAGCGGCCTGCCCCGATGTGAGTGCATGCGTGCGTTCGCATGGAACGTTGCAAAGTGAAATTTCTGCAGATAAGCGTACGATAGATTATTTTCTCGGACTTTCGCTACAATTTGCTCGTCGGGCGCAACGATTGATTTTCGCTTTATTGTGGCTTCATAAGGGTCACTTATATTGAGAAAACGCTCTAAATGCTTAGAGTGTCTGGAATATGTCAGCATGTCATACGGTGACTCAGCCAAATCCTTAATTGTATTAAGATCCGGCTGATATGTGCGAAAGACGAGACTGCTTGTGAGATTTCCCTTGAATGCGTTGCAAATCAACATGCCATAGAAGAGCCAACAGAAGAGGAAGATACGCAGAGGGGTGCGTGCCGGAATACGTGTCAAGGGCATTGACAATGTGGTGGCGTACAGTTGAAGTAGATCGAAGTCACACTTGTGCAGACGCAGGTGCACCAAGTTGCAAAAGATATAGGCAAGCGGTATCGAGAGCAGTATCGTCAGCCACACCGGTATGGTGAATGAACGAAATAGGTTCCAGAATATAGTTGCAATCCTAGCTTTCGGCACCAACACACACAGGTCGTCACGGCTGTGCACGATCGTATATTCGACTTGTCGCGCAAATGTCGGCGCCGCTAGGAAGCGTGTATTGAAGGCTACATCATCTAGCTCGTGTGTGATCTCCTTGAAGCAAATATCGGCTCTTAGCATGAAGTTGCCAAATCTGCTGACGCGATGTATTACACGTGTGGCATTCAAGCGTTCGGCGATGAAAGCCGACATGAAACCATCGCTGCCGATAACCTTCTGGTCGTCGTCGTCGTCCTCGAAAATGGCTCGCACCTCATCCTGGTACAGACATACGCTCAACGGCTTGCCGCCCATATCCGGTAATTTTGGTGGGAAGAGGTCGTCTTTGCGCGGAAGCACGCCACTGCTTAGTTCCAATTTTATAAGAAATTCATCGGTAAATGGGTTGTATCTGTAAACATGCAGCTCATTGTTGCGTTGAAACATTATCACGACATTCAGAAACCAAATGTGCCAAAAAATCGCGAAGGTATGACGCAACCAAGCTTCGGTGACGGTCTCCGAATTGACGATTAGCATCATAACGTGCGAGAGGTGTTTCGCAGCGGAATATTTTTGTATAATTGATAGATCGATGCGCTGTGAAGCATCGTGAAAGATCATTACCAGATATAACAGTATACCGTCGTTGTTGATGAGTTCCAATGGCTTAGTCTTTACGCGATTCCTATGCAGAAGAAGCCACAAGATTATCAATGGATTTAATTGACTTAGGCTAGGCCGAATAAGTTATCTTAAGGGATTTGTAATTTGTCTACCTACCTCAATGTTATATACGAAGTACCACAATCACTTAAATCGCGCAGTATGTCACCCGAATAACCGGAAGAGGTCTTATTCTCGAAATACACATAGACGACTTTCGTATGGAAACTGCACAAAATGTCGCTGGCGTTCTCAATTAGTGGCAAATCTATTGTAGAATTAACCGCAATTAGACCTTCGGCCATCGACGGAGTTTTGGAAATCCAAACCGCGAAAATGCCGATGAGAGAATGCAGCAACGATAGTGGCATTGCGCCCAGACGAGTAGAAATATGCGGAGCAAATGTGGACGCTTAGTTGGTGGTCGATTGTTTTTATAGATATAGACATATCCCAGCTGGTGGCCAAAATAAAAATGCATTAATGGAATATTTTT